TTTTTGATGTGCATAAAACCACCGAAATTATGGAAATTATATCATACGAAAACGATGGGCTCGAATTTTTATTCATAAGAATTGTGTGAAATTTATTATAATTTGATACTTTTTTGAATGTCATAATCGTTAACGTTAATTACCGCACTAGTATAGTTCTGGATATCGATCTGAAAATTTAATTTAACATCTATAAACGGCTTAGTTTATACCTACCGTAGCTATGGTTACAAAAATGATCACAGGCACGAACTTTCACTACTAACAAGTGAGCATTAAAATTTGGTTGAGGCACCAGCGTATGTATCAAGAGTTTTTCCTTGATTTATCACCACTATTTTTATTCACTGAAAAACCGATCATTCTCAAACATTTGTATTTGGCGGGTGTTAATGTGGAGCGGAATCTGCTATCCATGCCCCTTCTACTTTATTCTTATTCGGAATATACGATACTATAGTTACTACGTCGTAAGATATAAAGATTATGAGTTCTGTGGTTACTACTCATGAACATAAACGTGCTGAATTATTCCACAGTTTTGGAGACAAAATATAAATACGATATTTCGTTCATAAAATGATATGTAGTGATGCCAAGCAGATGGTTTTTATGACACATTGTCATTCACGAATTGTGTGTCAGTTGAACAGTCAATCAAAATGATGAAGTTAAAGTGGAAGAACTGATAATCATTTAGCTAGTTTACAATATTGAAATGGCAATATATCCTTAAGGTTTATTATGAAAGCGGCGTATTTTTTCCTTCTGCGCATTTGAGAAAAATAGGAAAGGGGGGGGGGGCAATTTTTTTTGTAGGTGAAAAATCTATTTAAATTTTATTTCATTTTCAGCGGTTTTTGGTAGTATACGAAAACCAATATCTAAAACTGGTCTCCTCGATTATATAGAAAGGTTCAGATTCAACGATGATTCCGAAATCATGCCGCCTCCATCGAAAATCATAAAAAGATGATTGACATAGGAACAATTTTATTTTAATTTTTAGATACAATTATTAATTTTCAATTATTTATTCAATGTTATTTTTATATGAGGTAATGAAATAAAGTTATTCAGTTTCTGTAAAGTCTGAAAAGAAAGCCTCCCTAGCATATTTATTAATCTTTCTTTTCATGCTATACTAACTAAAATGTTCATGACGGTGATGTGAATTATTCAATAAAAACAATCAAAGGATATATGTCTTTTCTAATCCAAATCCTATTTGCTTTTGGGTGTATGATAAATTGACATTCATCACACAGGGCGTGGAAAGAAATTCTGAATTGAGACTATCACGAATCTGCGATTAGAGGTCTATAAAAATCACAAGTTTCCATCGTTCAAGTTTGAACCTCCTGATTGGGTATGAAAGTGTTGAAAAGGAATATTCTCAGATAAATTATGAACATACAAAAATTGATATATATATTTATGTTCGTCATGGCATATAGCCAGGAAAGTAGTTGTTTTCTATTGAATAAACTGAAAAAGAGTAGATATTCTCATCACATAGAGAATGCAAATTCTCAATGTATTGCTTCATATAAATATACAGGGTGTCCCTAGACCAGTGGGACTTCAAAATATTATAATGCCACATCATATCGCATCATGAGTGCTATCTTCAGGAATGACTATATTTTATACGAGGGGCGTGGGGCGCAAGGAAGGCTCACAAAATCGAACATCAATTTTTTTCAAATGGAACACCCTGTATTTCATTGCATTTTTATATTCTCCTTGAAGAGCTGAATTCAACGACCTAGCACACTTGGGCTCTAGCGGGAATGATTTCCGAGATATAGGGTGTGGAAAATCGAGATTTTTCATTTTTGGTAATTTTTTGTGTCAAAACTATTCATTATTGGTCAAAATGGCTTACATGTCCATGTCTTAACTTTTGATTTACTATCCACTCGTATTTAAATTAAACAAATACAGGGTGGTGTAGAATTCTCAGTTTCAGTCGGAATTCCACACCACCCTGTATTTGTTTCAATTAAATACGAGTAAATAGTAAATCAAAAGTTAAGATATGGACATGTGAGCCGTTTTGACCAATAATGAATAGTTTTGACACAAAAAATGCCCAAAAATGAAAAATCTCGATTTTCCACACCCTATATCTCGGAAATCATTCCCGCTAGAGCCCAAGTGTGCTAGGTCGTTGAATTCAGCTCTTCAAGGAGAATATAAAAATGCAATGAAATACAGGGTGTTCCATTTGAAAAAATTGACGTTCGATTTTGTGAGCCTTTCTTGTGCCCCTCGTAGAAAATATAGTCATTCCTGGAGTTAGCACTCATAATGCGATATGATGTGGAATTATAATATTTCGAAAATTCCTATTGGTTCAGGAGATATTCAACTGTCCCACTGGTCTAGGGACACCCTGTATATCCATTTTTGTATGTTCATAATTTATCTGAGAATATTCCTTTTCAACAAATCCTATTTATCCATTATATTAATAAACTATTCCAACGATTCATTTCCTAAACTTTTTGGAATTTTTTCTACTCGTTTCTTCTGAAAATAATGTACATTATCACTTACTTATTACTAGTTTCTTTTTTGTTCTTTCATTTCCTAATAACAATTCTTGTCTAAGTGGAAATTGACAATTATTATTATCCAAGTATCATTATGTTAGTTTCAGATAAGATTTGCCCCAAAATAGTCAGTGACACCTTGTTTTGAAAAAAAATTTGAAGCAGAGGTATATCGAAAATATAAAACATTTTAACTTAGCATCGGACGCTTCAGGAACAAATCTGCTAGCAATTAGTTTCTTCTTTATTTGTATCTATTAATCGTTCTTGAATTTACCATTTTCCACTCAAATTTTAGGAGTGAATACCATGTGAATAATTTATTGTCTGTTCCTCAAGCAAGGCAATACATTGAGTATAAAATGGTGAATTCAACACAGGTCTAACGGTCGACTTCTGTCACTGAAAGGTGGCATTATAGTAGAAAACAAAGAGACCGCAATTGCAAAGAATAACTCCATTTTTATGTAAAAAACACTGAAGTAGATTTGTTTCCGAAACGTCCAAAGTTAAGTAACAATTCGATATTTTTTCGATAGGTATACCGATATTCTCTTATTATAATCATTAGCGTTAAAAAAGGTGTTGCTGAGTATTCATTAAATTTCTCTCACTGGTTCTAAATAGTGAAATTTTTTATTGCAGTGCCATTTTGATGCAAATCATCGGATTTGTCCTTGCTACACATATATTGAAATTATAGGTACTCATATTTTTATTCATTGAAACGAAGAGAAAATCTCAAAAAATCTGGAGAAATGAATATTTCATCTCCTGGATCAGACTACATTCAGTAATTGAACTTGTAAATCACGAATTTTCATTTCAACTTTGGAATTCTGTCATTCAAAAACTGTTTCAAATTTTGACATTTCGATTTTTTTTTCAGAATTTCGATACCAATTAGGCATTTTGTTAGACTCTACTCTACTATTTTGAACTCAGAAAGTACAAGGTTATCCATAAAAGGGGCTCACCCTCTATATTCACGATATTTTCCACAGAAATAAACAATGTATGCCGAAGTTGAAAGTCACAAGAAGGACCTTATATGGCAAAATCTTCTCCTTGAACCACAAGTCCATTTTTTGAAATGAAACACTTTTTCAAAATAATAGATATGCAAAAAAAATTGAAAAACTTCTTCTTGACAGTGCCCTGTGTATCTAGTGTATTAATTCACTCAAAATATTCCGCATTATTTTAAATTTTGTACACTCACATTTTAAACACCAGAAATTGCGATATTGAAACTCGGAATTTGTAGGTTGATTTTTTCCTTAAAATGTTTGATAAGCTTGCAATTTCTAGGGTCTAATTTGTTTCATCATAGTTTGGAAAGTTTGAAGGTCACAGGTATGGTTGGAACCCATGTCAACTGCCAACCTTTGTTGATTCATTCACAGTAACAAGATTTGTTGATACATAAATAATTGTTATTCGGATGCTTCAACTGATTGTAACCTCACTTCTTATAATATACCAGCCCAACCACACTAGTGCCGCCACCTGGGGGGAATATTGGACATCCCTGCCAATGTCGCCACTTCAAGTGATTTAAAAAAATAATAATGTGTTGTTTCATTCGAAGAAAAAAAAAAGAATTCTGAATTGCCATGCTCTGCATATTTCACATTCAGGACCTTGTTGAACCAGGGGTAAGTTTTTTAGTTGAAAAAACACATTCTCATTACTTTACATCTCAAAACTTGTAGGTATTCGAAAATCTCGCGATTTACAGTTTCATTGATGTGGTTTATTCTTTATTTATACATTAGTCAATATTTCCTTAACCTACTTGCACATAATCCAAAGATCTAACAATATAATTATAGTCTACTAGATGCGCCCTTGCCTCACCGTCCTGTACAAGGTGTTGCATGTGCAACAAAGACAGGTAGGTACTGGGTAACCAGTTATATTCTGATCTATTTCAAATTCTCATATCTCTGAAACCATTTCTAATCATTGAAAACATATTAAGTTCACAAAATCAAAGAGGTGATATTAGGGTTTTTATCCAGCATCTTTCTTCATGGACTTCATGGACAATTTCTGTACTGAGTTAGTTTATAATATAATGTGTTGCGAAATTTTTTCTCAACTTTACTCGACCATCAACTGATTTCATTGCGCCATGTTATTTCTTGCGTTTTACTCTTAAGCTGTTTTCAATTCCTCTCTCTCTCTCTCTCTCTCTCTCTCTCTCTCTCTCTCTCTCTCTCTCTCTCTCTCTCTCTCTCTCTCTCTCTCTCTCTCTCTCTCTCTCTCTCTCTCTCTCTCTCTCTCTCTCTCTCTCTCTCTCTCTCTCTCTCTCTCTCCCTCTCTAGGCATTATCTAGTAGTTTGATATTATCAGATCTTTGTCGTTAACTTAAAATTCAAATACAGCCTTATTTCAAACAGTTGAAAATAAAATAATACTCAGTGTGTCCATAAAAAATTAGATTTCATTCGTTTGCCACCTGTCTTCCGAAGTTCTGACTCTTCCTTCCTTGGAAAGTTTTGATAAATGGTGATTGACATTACTCTCGGCTGCTGTCACTAGGTTCTCGGGAATGTCAGTGTAAATCAGCCTCACTAGATCTCTTTCTTTGAATGTTTTCGAGCTGTTGTTGTTCAGAACATCCATTATTTGTCGTTCGCGTTCCATTCGATGGTTGATATAGAACTGAATTTTTTCCACTGGTGTCTGTAACAATGATAATTGTCAAAAGTTTGGTAGAGAATAATAGTAATTGACGCCGGAAGTTACATAGCAATTTTGTACTAATATCGTCATTTTGCTCAATATGCAGGTTGCATAGTTCAGACAGTTATTTCATATACAGGGTGCCCCATAAGTAATGGATCAAAAGAAGTGAGGTCGTAGGAGGGTTCATTTGTAATCAAACTAACGGTATATGTTGTTCTGAAAAATGCGACCCATCTGAAGATAATGAATAACAAAAAGGCTGTTTTGAATAATCTCATATGTTATACCATTTCGGAATCTGTATTGAATGGGCAACTTTTTCTTATGATTGGTTATCTTTGTGGGGTAGTGTTTAAATCTGCCAGCGCCATTTAAAAATCGACTTAAATATTTCATTCGATGATAAAACTCAAGGAAAACAACATTTTTCTCATATAATTGATAAGAAGTAATACATGTCATAAAATAATTTCTGGGGAAAGTTGCATCCATGTGGAATTTGTAAAAGAAAATATCACAAATGTGACATAGTTTTATTGTAATTAATTATTTTTATAGAAATGAAAAAAACATCAATACCTTTTGAGATTTTATTCTCTAATGCTCGAAATTATTGTAGTTGCCAATAACCATAAATAAAAATGTGTTTTGAAAAAAAATTATATTCCCCCAAGATACATTTCTGGGTACGCCACTGCATTGGAAATCAATCAGTCTTCCATGATGAAAAAATTCTGTACTGCTAATGAGTTGATAAATAAACAATGAGCACGTGAATCCAAAAATTTCGGAAAAAAACTTGCTCTTAACAATAATTGGAATATGCAGTTTTTTTTCGAATCTATTATTCGTAATTATTATTTTTCAAATATTTCAAATTGAACACCAACAATGTTTCTTGGGGTAATATAAAGAGACAAGATAAATTGATCGGGTATTATTAAAAGGAATCGAGGGACATTCATACACTATAGAGAAAACTTGGAAAAACCATGTATTGTCAACAATACTCAGTTTTTCAAATCGATAATAACTGGATGTTAGAATAGAGGTTTCAAAAAATCGTTTGTTGATGGTAGGTGGAAATATAAATGTTCAATTTCAGAAATATTCCTCTTCAATAAAATTGTACATAGTTCCTCTTGTTATGATACTCTAAAAAATTCAACATAGCACAGGAGTACTGAAAAGTTGGAACTCGTTTTGAGAAAGAATGAGGCACAAATATTCTTCAAAAATATCGAATTAATCATGTTGAATTCCTGATGGTCTTTTTCGCTTTTGTTTCCGAAGTTTCTATCAAGTTTCGATACAATAGAATATTATATCCTCATATTGATCGCGTGCACGATGACCGACCCTGGAGGTAAAATATTGGAACACAACCCCACTCTTCTGTGAATTATTGAAACAAAACCTCACATTTTTATTTGGTATTTGGTTACAGAGGAATCAAAGGATTGAAATAGTTTTTCACAATATTTTGGTAGACGAATCGTGTTTTTTGCGCTATTCATTAATGCAAGCATTCCTTCAAATTGTGCTGTTGTACAATGCACAAAAAATGCAGCTAGAGACGAAGGAATATGATTTTTCAGGTAAATAGTAATTTCACATAGTTATCATTATGAAATGTTCCTTATTGAAATTACTTCTGTCACTTCTGCAATACAAGCTAATACTGCTAATAGATTGAAAATGTCTACAACACACACGATCATATTTCGTCAGCATGTCAGACTTGTCCTTCCGTTTGATTGCATGAATCTTCTTGCATTATTTTAGAAATTTCGCGTGTTTTTCTATTAACTCCTATTGCAGAAGGAATTCCGATGAGAAATCAGAGAAATTACCAATTTTCAAAAATGAAAACTATATGTGAGTGACTATAGTAGGTATACTTACTTTTAAATCATAATGTACCAACAGGATTCCTTCGTCTTCTGCTGCAGTTTTTGTGCATTGTACAACAGCACAATGTGATGGCATGAGCGAATTAATGAATAGCCGAAAAATACGATTTGTATGCCAAAATAATTGTGAAAAACTATTTCAATCACAACAAATAAGAAAAGTGAGGTTGTGTTTCAATGTTGTTCCTCTAGGGTCGGTCATCTGCATGCAACCCATACCAACTGAATCAGTTTTTTTGGGTGTTCTAGTTTAGTATACAGAATCGGAATTTCATCGCCATTATAAGCCAATGATGAAGCAAGGGTTATATTTTTCATTTTGTTTGGATATATAGCCTGTAGTGGTGGTATATCAGCCCATTGATAGAATCGGATGCTCTCATGAAGCCAGGATTATATTTCTCGTGTAGAAGTTTTGTTGTTAGATAATTACATCTTATTCTGATTCAGTTATATTTACGCACACAGAAACACGGTACCATAGATCAACTGTCAGCTTGCATTCAGAAGTGGAATTATTAAAAAAAACCAAGTACATGAACAAGAGGTACCTTTCAAAAATGTACCCTTTCCGACCCGCTTGAAATATCTAATGCACATTCCTCATTCTTGGTTCTTTTCTAAACTAAACGATCTGAGCCTTGGCCTCAAGCTTACGAAAATACGTTAATTGCAAAATGGCCGATTTGTAACTTAATCCCTTTCAATAATATCCGATTCAATTGTTTTTCTCAATTCCATTAATCACCCACCTGAATGATGTTTCCATGGCCGGGAAAAATAATCGAAGGATGTATGTTTGCAATTTGCTCCAACGAGTTCATGTAGTTATATAGATCCTCGAAAACAGCAGTCCCCTCTCCCAAGATGCAGTCGCCGCTGAAAACCGCATTGTCTTCGAGCAGATGGAACACGACATGGTCATCCGTGTGTCCAGGAGTGTGGACCACACGCAAAGTGGCACCTTCTACGGAGAATTCTTGACCGTCTTTCAAACTTTCGATGCTCGATTTCTCAGAGATGTTGTCTTTCGCACCAGGATATTTCCAAATCTGACAATGTTCTGAAAATGAATATTCATTAACCCAAACCACCGAACATCAACTAAAGATAAGAAGAGTCACTCTCCGTTCTGCCGCGAATACCTCCCTCCTTTCCCTCCCTCCGATTCTGGAAGATCGGATACCAACGCATAATATACCGATTGACCGGCAAGGGCGCGCGAGAGTCGTTGTAGACGTGATATACCGAGTGTCTTATTGTTGGTGAGTTATTGGGAATCGGTTCACGAATTGATTTCGGAAGTTTGTTTTAACTTTTAGAGTGCAAATTTTCATAATGCCGACGCATTGTTCTAATCATGACAAGCTAAAACAATACAAGCTTCGTCCTAAATTAACTAATGAACATTTGAATCCCAGTAATTTTCGAAAAATGAAGATGGAATATGCCTCGCAAGTCTTCAGTCATTCTGTGGCTGCTGCTCTTTATACCTACGTGATTTTGAAGTTCTACCACCAGAAGCAAAAGTTACTGCAAAATTCATAAAAATAATGAATGATTTATTCGATTTATTAAATTCCTGTCACTTGAATAATTTTAACGCATTCATGGGCACAGAAAAAATTCCAATTTCTAGAAGAAATTGAATGAATGTTAAGCAATTTGTAAGTTATGAAGATTGTTGACAATCAAGAAATTTGTTTGAACAACAAATTGAATTTCATTTATGGATGGAAGTTAACAATCAAGTCGTTTTAAGCTTTATGGGAAACCTTGAAATCTAGGGGTTATAATTTTCTATTAACCAGAAACCTCAATCAGGATTGTATCGAGAAATATTTTGGCCAAGTTAGAAACTGTTGCGGCAATGCGAGAAATCCAACACCAATACAGTTTTCAAGAGCCTTCAGAAAATTATTCGCCTTAAAATGTTTGAATCAAGTCGACGGTGCAAACTGCATAAACGATATAAATGGAGTTTTGATGAACATTAATCCCGATTTGCTAGAAAACTGCAATAAATTATCCATCCCATTATCACACAATCCCTTGAAGGTATCTACGAGCGATTACAGAAATTTGTCCAGTACTGGTGGTAATGCATTGGTGTATGTCACAGGCTATTTATTGAAAAAATGTTTGTTGCAACATTCATGTGATATATGTATGGAATATAACAAACAAAATTCTTTAAAAAAGGAAGCGAACCGCTTTTTTGAGGCAAGAGCTTATAATACCAAAGGAATTGGTGGCTTGAATGTACCTCATGTAAATATTGTAGAATATGTCACACGATTAGAGAACATCTTCATTCGAAATTTCAATGAAATAGCTAACCTACAAAATATTGGTGCAACCCTCAAGGTTTGTTTGAAAATATACAATTCACACATCCGTGTGAAAATTTTCCATTCGAGTATTTTGTATCTCTCTACACTAGAGTTCGTATTTATTTTACGATTAAATCTATAAATCGTGAAATTAAAGACATAAAAATTGAAAAGCCAAATATGAAGTTATCTATATTGCAGAACCTATGATGATTCATCTCTTTATTCACCAAAACTATCGGTTTCAACCCATAGGATATTTAATGTTCACCTGTTTCCTTTGTTATATTGGTAGATTTTGTTAGTTAATTTATTTAGTCATTATTCCAAATTTTTTGGGTTTTTCTCTCCTCGTTTCTATGAAATAAAAATATGAATATTATTTCAAAATACGTGTAGTAAGGACAAATCAGATGATTTGCCCCAAAATGTCACTGCGTTTAAATAATTTTCCTATCGGAGAGCCTAATAGTAAAATTCACTAGCTTGTCAGTGACAATTTGTATTGACAAAATTTTGGAGAAGAGAAATAAAGGTATATAGACAAAATATCAAATTTTCACTTATCTTTTAGGCTCTCTGATAGGAAAATTCTTTATTTATGTATATGTGAATCAATCAATTTCGACTACGAAATAGCCACAATGCTCAAAAGTGGAATGAAATGTTAAATAAATACAAAAGCTCGAAGTCATTTCCACACAATGTTCATAAAATGAACAACAATGGTAGATTTCGGGAGAAAAACAACTACTTTCCTGGCTAATGACACGCAGAACATTGAATTACATCCTCCTGAAATCTATGCATCGACTCGTATAAACGAATACTGATACAAGTGATTCTTTCCTGAATGCCTATTGATTTCGATTTAGCCAGGCCACGCTTGACACCCACAGACCAGTTTCGAGCTCTTTGACTCTCATCAGTGCAGGGTAGTCTCCAGCCAGCAGTCCTAATACCGCCGACTCAGCGTAGCCTAGCCAAACAAAAATCAAGTCGGCATTATATTCCCCCAGAGGCGTCTTTATTCCATCTTTCTTGTATGAGAAATTTCGTCCTCTACTCATGCCAGATTGGAATCAATATACAACTATCTCGAGACCAATGATGATTGTCTATTTATTTTTATCCGTACAACCATGAGTGTCTTTTACAAGCAGACCTATATTATGGATTCAATTTTGACTTCGAACCCAATCAACGATGGGCGCAGATTCCGTGGACAGACTGTAGGCTTTGAAAGTCTGAAATACGAATATAATATGAATAACTTCAAAACTATGGTCAATCTTCAGCGCACTCTGGTGGCAGAACCAGATAAGTTAGCGAGCTGAGTTTTATCTTATTTTTCATAATTTTCTGGCATTTTCATGGTGAAGCCATATCCGAAAAACATATGGATCCGTTGAGAAAAATTCTTTAGCAATTTTTTCCTGTCCAAACTACCAAATGATTGGACTATGACTGAGCATACATTTGATAAAATGTTTTTAGTTAAATTTCAGCATTTTTTTATTTTCAAGTGGTCACTATAACAAGGTGATTCTAAAATAGGTGGTCAAATTTTGGGAGCATATAGAGTGGGTGAAATAATTATGAAAACCTCTGTAACATTTTTTTCTGAAGTGACCCCCAAGAAAGATACAGCCCCTCAAAGGGGGGCCTCTGAGAATGATTTTGTATTATTATCTCCAACACCTTGTATAATGAAAATCTGAAATTTTGTCTATCCGCTTACTATTCAGTGCCGGTTCGAATGGGGTTAAAATCACCTCAAAATAAAATACAGGGGTGTCTCAAAATAGGGAGGTAGGGGGTAAAAATAACCCTAACTTTTTTGTTCATCGCAATTTCAGTTTTTTGACATGAAATTATGAAATCTCAGAGCTATTTACATGAAAAAGGTGCTCTTGTTGCATCTCGATAAAATTAACTATTAGCGAATAAAATTTAAAAAAAGCTTGTTTTTAACAATATTTTTCATTTTAGTATTTTCAATAGGATCAGACCATAATCACGAAACTCGTCGTCTATTGTTAATTCATCAATTCCGACAATGAATTCAAAATTTCCAAACCCCAAAAACCTTATTTACAAACCAATTTTGAATCGAATCGAACCATAATCACAAATCTGGTCAGCCACATTGGTGCCGCCCTATTTTTTTATATAAAAAAGTCCATAACGCGTTGTCAACTGTCATCTGCCAGATTTCAAGTTGATCAGAGGTGAAAATTCAGTTGCAAGATTTGAACTAGATAATTAAACTCAAGTGCATACCAAAATTTCAATTTAAATGAAATCTTGGAAAAATAAATTTTATTCGCTAATGGTTCAGTTTATCGAGATCCAACAAGAGCTCCTTTTCTATGTTGATAGCCCTGAGATTTCATAATTTCATGTAAAAAAACTGAAATTGCGATGAACAAAAAAGTTGGGGTTATTTCTACCCCCTACCTCCCTGTTTTGACACACCCCTGTATTTAATTTTGAGGTGATTTCAACTCCATTCGAACCGGCACTGAATAGTTAGTGGATAAACAAAATTTTAGATTTTCATCATACAAGGTGTTGGAGATAATAGTACAAAATCATTCTCCGAGGCCCCCCTTTGAAGGGCTGTATCTTTCTTGGGGGGCACTTCAGAAAAAAATATTACCGAGGTTTTCGTAATTATTTCACTCACTCTATATACTCCCAAAGTTTGACCACCTATTTTAGAATCACCTTGTATATAATGATTGAATATTTTTCAAGTTATATCTTGCTATACTCCACCTCGAAGTATTTTAAAATAAGTTTTTGTACAAGCGTGCGTGATTCATCCTATACCCGCACGCAAGTTAGTTTGGGAAGTGTCATTTTCCCGCAACATGATAATATGGCAAAATATAAGTGGTAGGTGATGGAATATGAGAGTTTGAGTTTGTTTGTTGCAGTATTAAGTATGTATGTTCAGAATCATCCATCAAATTGCACTATTTATTGAGAAAATTGAGAAATATTGAAAAATAAAAATTGATCATTATAAAAATCCCCCTATAGATTTGGATTGATCTGATGAGACACGATTATTGTTGTCATGCCAATCAAACCTCAAATGAGTATGAATTTGTAGAAGTGACAGACACAGCGATATTGTCATTTTCGATTCAGTGGAATTGCCACAATTGATCAAAAACTTCCAGCTATAGGAATGCGATACAGATGCGTTATTCGCGGGAATCAATGTTACCAGGTGGTGCTCAGTTTTCATCGTTCCATGTCAAAGCCACGTCAAAACTGGGGGAAAACAAACTCAATCCTCACTCAATCCCATTAGTGCCATTAGCTTGTGTACTGATAAGAGTGATAACACTTTATGTCAGTGACAAGTTTGACAACTACAGCTACAGCAAGATGTATGCAATGTAGTCTATGCACTTTATTCATAGACAACAGTTTGTTTTCCCCCAGTTTGAAGTTCGTATTATGTAACCTAGATGTCGCCCACTTCGTGAATCTCGCGCATTGCCAACAAAGTCTTAAGAAAGGTATGAGAAGCTATACACGCGTTTTATTGAATGGTGCAACAATAAAGAAATGAAAATACCGAATAAAGAAGAAGTATTTTTGGCTCATTCCCTAGAAGTGTCTGAAACCTAGAGACCAAACACCTTATGGGCCTGCTGGCTTCCGCAATGAACCTATACATAATGCGTCAAGCTGTAAGTTCACAATAGCTATTACTAATAATCAGTAGATAGATAATATGTTTCTCCCTCTTGTTAGTTGTTCCTATATGAATGAATAATTAATTGAACAAATCAATCAATTTCCTACGCTTGTAGAAAAAATGTTGTTCCTAACTCATACGGAAAGTGTTGTTAGGAAAATTACTATTTCACGCGTTTTTAATGCCAGATTCATTTTACCCCAAAGTGGTGGGTAAAGTGAATAAGATTTTACAAAAACAAATTTAGACATTTTCTTTAATTTCTCCGAATTATTTTGGACTTGAGCCATTCGGAAAGGGTGCCAGGAACTACAATATTTTTTGTGTATTTTTTATCCCAATACTTTTCGAAAAAACGATAAAACACGCATTTTTTCGATTCACTCAACCCCGATTGACGGTACTCTACTATCATTCCATCACTAGCAAAAATACCAGTATCAGACGAACTCGACAAGCCCACTCATCATATCCCTTCGTCGTCAACCTTGAGATATGTCGAACAAATCTCTACCAAAACTCGTTTGTCTATAGAACGGCAAAGCTTTGGAATTCTTTGCCAAAGGAAGTATTTTCAAGAACTTTCAATCTCCAAAAGTTGAAAAAAAATCCTACCTCTCCCTATCCTTCCTAGGTACGTACGATGTTTTCCGAACATTATAGAGATTCCTTTCCATGCGCCCCAAGAGATAAAAAAATGGGAATAGAGAGAATCCCAGGAATGTGGGTATGGTGAGAGTGTATAGATTTTACGTTAAATGATATTTTCGTCGACCTCTATACAAAATATCACATTTTACTTTCCAATTTCCGAACGAAAAACCCACTATTTCCGATGGTAAGTAATTTTCGTCCGCAGACGATAACTTTTCGTCCGCTGCAGGGTTGCCAGTTCTACTGAATTTTCAGTAGATCTCCTGATTTGCATATTGATCTACTGATCTACTGAAATATGTCATAACCTACTGAAAAATATGTTGACACTTATTATAATTACCTATATTATCATCAATATTCAGTTGATCACATATACACTATATTGCATGAAATTATTTCGGAACGCTCTGTTTGAATTAATTTCACAAAAAAAGTAATAAATTTACATACGGGTGTCAACGAATCTATTAGACAAGTCATAACTTCTAGACCATTAGGTGTATCAAAATGAGATGTGGTATCTAGGTAAATGGTATGTGAAAAGGAGAGTTTTCACATATTTTTCACTTCCCGGTCACTTCCGGTTTCAACTATTATTTTTCGAATGGCGACCATTTTTTGACAAGCACTTTCCGAAAAAAGGATATTTTGACGAATCTAACGATACTAATTCATTTGCGATTGGATTACAAATAAGAACATAAATTAAATATTAAAATGTGTCTGTCCAACTTGTCTTATTCATATCTATCATACTTGTCACTGAAACTTCGCGATTGTAATTTTCTGATATCACCTGAGGTCCTTAGGTTGGTTTACTTCCGATCATGGCCAAGATGAAATTTCAAAAGTGACTCCGAAAAAAATCAAGTAGGCATAAAAAAATTCGAAAATGTCACATTCTGATCTAGAATTGTCTCAAAAATTCAAAAATGTTACAATATACAGGGTGTTCCATTCAAAAAGTTAGAACCGGAGCCATTTCCGGTGAAACCGGAAGTGACCGGAAAGTGAAAAATATGTGAAAACTCTCCTCTCACCTATACCAAATCTCATTTTTATACACCTAATGGTCTAGAAGTTATGACTTGTCTAATAGATTCGTTGACACCCGGTATATACTAATGATATGTCTAAATCAAAAAAGGATTCTGATTCAGATAAGTCATTTATATACCTCTGTTATAAGAGTTTGTTTTTACGTTTAATTCTTTATTTGTTTTGAATTTTTGTTGTTCATTTTTACTATTCGTTCTTGTTTTTTATATACTCAAATCTTGAAAGTACAAGTGCCTATATATATAACTGTAATCTGTGATATTTGTGAGTATTTTTGAATTGACAATTAGGAATATGTTTACTTTATTTTTTTATAAGATTGTTTGTTTTATTTGTTTCTATTCTGTTGGAAATAAGTAATTTTTTTATTTGACGTCATAGGTTTATTTCATAATCTTTTCTTGGAATTCGTATTCTTGACGGCACTGATGGAATAAAAATCAAACTGGCCATCTTGGTCCGCTGTTACTATGATACGGCACGATGCGAGAACGGCGAGTGAGTCAGTAGGAATTATAAACATCTCAGAGTTGACAACAACAAACTGTCATTTGCTGTTGTCAAATCAATTATTCTCGAAATCCGATAGATTTCACATGTGAATAGGGCCGTGATGTGAATATGAGTGTTTTAGGTCGACGAAAAAATTGAATAAGCACCTTGGAGAAAAACTGTCTATTGTCTCGCCTGATTGCTAGCCTCGGCTAAGGCATCGGCTATCAATTCGCAGACCCGACTATAATAGACAGTGTTTCGCCCTTGGTACATATAACTATTTACAGAGTGAAGACTCGGTCACATGCTGGCTTTTCGCTCTTTGACTCACAGCGTATTCTCATCTTATTTACCGATTCGTCAGGAAGCGCGAATCAAGGTCATAAAAATAAAAAATCAGTGTCATTGATGTCATCAAAGAACAACATCATTCCTTATAATAATTAAGAATTTATTTATGTATTCATTATATTTTACTTACTTGTTTTATCTCGAATATCTTCAAGGATATCAGCGAGACCTCCGATATGGTCATGATGCCAATGAGTAATGAATATATGAGCTAAATCAATTCCTTCGAAATCCAGAACCGTTTTCAAATGATTTATGTATTGCGGAACACTTGCATCTCCAGTATCGATCAAAATTCGCCTGTAAAAAAAAATGATTTTTATACAAAGTGACACTAGTTTTCTGTAGTATTACAAAATAAAAACGCTTTAGACATGTCAGTATTGAAATATTGAAGAATTTATAATTTCCTATGAAGAAGAATTACTCGGGTTACGGGTTTTCAAATAAATAACTTTGAGCGATGAAAATGAAATACTATCTGATGAAATTTGAAGAACGATTGTAGATATATTATTAACATTGAGATTTTTTGGGATTTTCTCTCCTCGTTTCCATGAAATAAAAATATAAATATTATTTAAATATACGTGTAGTAAGGTGAAACCAAGATTCCTCTTTCAGTAAGGACGAAAGAACATAAGTACAATATAAAGAAAAGACACATCGACAAATCGAAACTAGTTGAACATATCCTTACTGAAGATGGCAACCGGAAAAGAAAAATCAAGGAATCTGCTTGCAGTCTTCTGAACGGAGACAATAACATTGCTTCCTGTTCAGTTGATATAGGTAGATTATAGTATTCACTACTGAAATCCGAAAATTAGAATGGTAAATTCAAGATTAATGAAATGAAAACATGATCTAACTCATTTGAATACCAACGTCACCAATTGTCACTGAGAACTGAAAAGTGTCAGGACAAATACTAATTTGCCATACAAAAAATCCATTTTTTATGTTGAAAACGGAAGCAGATTTGTTCCGGAAACGTCCAAAGCTAAGTGAAAATTTGATATTTTTTGTATATACCTTTATTTCTCTTCTCCAAACCTTTTTCAATACACATTGTCACTGACAAGCTAGTGAATTTTTCTTTTAGGCTCTCTGATAGGAAGACGAGGATAGAAAATCCCAAAGAATCTGGAATAATGAATGTACCACCTCCTCGATCAACCTACAGACAGTATTTATGAAAAAAATTGCTACATATTTGTTTATCTCTTGGATCGCACGAAAGAAAATTCCTATAATGTTCGTGGAATATCGTGCGTACCCAGGAAGGACAGGGAGAGGAGGTAGGTGTCGAATTTTTTCAACATTTTGAGATTATAAGTTCTGAAAACACATTTCACTTAATCGCTATAGCAAACTTTACAAGTTGAATTGATTCTGCGTCCCTGCGTGACTACAAGCGAGGACTCGTGTAAGTCGTATTATACAGTATGATGCAAATGTATGGAATAAATTCATTATTTCATAAATGGGCGACATTTGAACAAATTCCAAAAACACGTGAGTTTTAATTTTTGAAACCTCATCTCATGACATTCATATGAGAGATGTTACGTCACCGGTGTTGGGAGTAATGACGTAATGGACGGTTTTTTTTAAATACAAACAGGGGTCATGTGACACCTCGTTTGAAAGATCTACTGATCGTCTATCCAATAGTCAAAATTTTGCAAAAGAAGATTGAAATTAAAATGGATTATCATATGGTTAACTGAATCTTGCAGAGATCTTCTACTGAGAATTGAACATCGAAGGGTCGTCTAGTTGAAAAAATACATCGATAAAAAGTTCTGACCTCTACTTCTTGGATTTTTTCGGAAGTCGTCTTGTTTTGAAATGAATTTATTCCATACCTTTGCATCATACTGTATACATATATTCCTTGCACAACATAAAACATAATTGTTTTTTTTTCAAGTTGAATAATGATCAAGAATAATTTTGGATAAGTTTTGGATCAATGTCATGAGCGGAATTAGAGCAGCAAGCTGGAGTATGTCAATCGACGAATATTTCCAGGAAAAATAGTATCACGAGTTGTATTCGTATGACTATTTCATGATTGAATGAGACAATATAATATATAAGAAATAGGAATCATAATTTAAGTATATTCCAACTCGAACTGCGAAGAAGAACATAATGATAGTAATGAAATACATAACTACCTACCTATATAGTTATTCACAAAGTGGAATGTACACTTTTGATAAACAGTATTTGTAGTAGTAATTGAAGAAGATTACTTCAAAAAGGAATTTGAATTCTATTATTGTTGTGTCAGACCGTCAACAAATATGCAAACTTTTCAAATTACACATGAAACGTCCAGCCAGAATAAAATTGTCTCGCCTTTCGTACAAAATATCTCACTAACGCGAATTATAAGTAAATAAAATAAAGTAGGAACTTAGGTTATTGTCTCAGATTTGAGGTTAGTTGAGGTTAGTTGGTCACGTGTGGGTCAATTCGGCTTCTGTATTGGTAGAGCAAGTCCGATAAAATTTAATAAACAAAAAATATCGCTAGAATACAGAAGAAACCATGGAAATGGTCGATTCTGATTGGTTCTCGAGATCAAGAGTGGAATAGTCACTTATAATTACACAAGACCTTTTTTTCTCGAAATTAACTTGACATTTAAATGAGAATTTTGTTAAACCAAAACAATTGTCTTCGAGCTCATTGAGTTACAATTCCTAAAGGCAAAAAAACTCGAAATGTAATTACAATTTAATGAATACGTTAATCACATTATTGTTCGCGACGTTTCCACAGATCAAAGCAAAATTGGTTTCAAACAAAGTTTCAAATGTTGGGTTCCGGTGTTTGTTCTATCGTATAATCTTGGCGATACGTCGAATAAAAGATGACGTCAGTTTTTATGCTGTTTCGTTATTGGTCAGACAATCTTCCATATCCACTCATGAAGCAAATTTGTCAAGTCACCAGTTATAATCAAGTTATCAGAAATATGTTAGAGCAGGCCTATCGTTGAATAGAACATAATAGGAGGAACCCATGATGTGTTAGTTCATTCTTGACTTTTTAGAGCAACCAGCATGTCCAAATATTTCTTCTTCATTCTCTATGTGATGAAAATATTAATTCTTTCTCGGTTTATTCAACAAAAACAACTACTTTCCTAGCTATATGCCACGACGAACATTGACTTGGCAACATTGTGCTGAATACTGAGAACTGACAAGGCCACGCCCACAAGTCATGCACCGTGGTTGTCACGTTCACCGATTCAAATGTCCTCTAGTGTGAGTTAATATAACTATTATTTACACAAATTTATTATAAGCAGTCAGCCACAAATCATAAGGGAACATTTTGAGACAATTGAATTTTTATTGCTAATTAAGTAGGAATATTACCAATACTCAATTGAGAATTTATGAATTATCGAATAACTAATATTTCTGAAGTTCCCAATCGTATTTCAACTGTGCTATGGTCTGAGGTCTGCCTCTACTTACTAAATCGTGTTCCTTAATGACATGCTAATATTCAATGGGGCGATTCTTCGGCCCATTTCAAGAATAAAACTTCATATGAGCGTATATATTGCAAACGTCCTAACTATTGAGGTACAGGGTATCAAAGTTGAACATATACATAGATTATTTTTTGTCCACCCTGTATAGCTTTTCCTGATGACAAAATTCATTCTGCCATGTGACGAAACGGTGCAAAAATGTTAAAACGTTGCATACTGTGGTTATCCAGTAATAGCTGTACTGAATGGGGTACTCATCAAGCTTAGCATTTACATCATAATTTGAAGTTTAATCTCGTTTTTTCGTTTTTTCTCGGAAACGGAGCCACCTTGTCGTGTATCAACAAGAGGATATTTTTAGTACAAAATTGAATGACTTTTTATAGCATTTTATTAAATTTGGAAATATTCCTTCGTTGCTCATTTTCAAGTATAATATAATCAAACATATCCCCCTAACGGCGCCACTGGTAGAGAAAAGGAGAATTTCTATACATAAAAAAATGCACCTTGATGCATAGAAGATATGTACCAAATTTCATAAAGGTGACTACATTATATTATACCAGTTATTATTAAAAAAGCTGATTTATTTTCGAAACTTTCTCACACTGTATCTCAAAAGTTATGACATTTAGGACATACGTTAGTGGGAAGTTTTCTCTTGAAATGCGTTGAAGAATCACCCCCTTGAATATTAGCATGTCTTCAAGGAACACCCTGTACAAATACCTACCGTACTACCATGCAGTTCCATCTTGACTCTTTCTTATACGATTGTATGTTGTCCTAAAAGAAATTCGCGATGGAAAATAACACGTCGCTCCACCTCACGGCAACAGCTTGAACACTTCTAAGCGGTTTGTTTTGATGATGTGACCAATAAGCACAAACGAAAAACAAATGTGAACCAATGAGAACAAAGTAAATAGTCCGCTTTGACAGCTTTCATGAACTCCGATAGATGGCGTACGCTTATTTTCTATCGCGAATAAAGTGATTTGATTTGAGACATTTGCGAACCCATGTTCATATGAACTTTTTTCCATATCTCGACTCATCCTAATACAATTGTATAATAATGTTGTCCTAAAAGAAATGAAGTGATTTGATTTGAAGCATTTTCGGACCCATGTTCATATGAACTTTTTTCCATATTTTATTGAGAGGAATCTTCCCTATAGGCTTTTGTCACCACAACTCTGAAGTACCCTGTATACCATCACGATTCTAATTCGTCAAACAATTCCAATGTTGTTAATTGTTATCTCACCTCTTTCCAGTTCCAACAATGTAAGTGTTGGTACCTTGCAGAGTCATCATTCCAGGGTTACATCCTAGAATTCTGATGATTCTGGAAGAGATTTTCGTCACAGCAGGGATCACCGCAGCCATTTTTCTTCAGGTGACAAGAATAAACAGAAACGAATTCTCGGAAAAATAATATTATTATCAGGGTCACCTTCAGACTGTAGAACCTGAAAAATAAACAGATTCGATTTATTGTAAATTATTATTAATTTTAAATGAAATTGATGGACTAGAAAATTCAACCACAAAATACGACCTAGTTTAGCAATGAATTGATATTTTTATCCATTTGATATAGTAATTAAAGACGAAGTAGGTAAACACACAGGTATACATTAAACAAATATAATAAAGATTATTTGTCTTGAATACCGGGTACCGGGTGGCAATCAAATCGTTGTACCATGAACAAATATTTATTATCGTTAAATGTCGATTCCCTCTGACCAGAGCCGGGTTTAGAGGTATGGAGGCCCGCTGGATCCTAATTGATTTCCATATAAAATTGACAAATTTCTCGATCAATAATTTTTTGCGAAACCAACTAAATTATTTTAACATATTCATGGTGTTTTTTAAGTACGTGTAAAACATTCAGGAGCATGTTGCTGACGTTTGAATAAAAACAAAAGTTTGTATAAACATATTTCCGCAAGTTATTCATTTTGACAAACAGAGTGTCAAAATTTGATTGTTATTTTATTTTTTTGTGTAAAAAAATATATAAAGAAATACATTGAGAATTCGCATTCTCTATGTGATGAAAATATCAATTCTTTCTCGGTTTATTCAACAGAAAACAACTACTTTCCTGGCTATATACCACGACGAACATTGAATTATATCTATTGAACACACAAGATGAGAATTTGAAAACAAAATCTTCTGGAGTAGAGAATTTGCATTCTCCTTCATATAAAGATATGCAGATAATATCATTCTAAATATTCAACAGAAAACAACTTCTTTCCTGGCTATTTGCCACGTCGAACATTGAATTATATCTGTTGAGCATCCAAAAAGAGAGCATGAAAAAGATGGAAATCCTCTGAAATTGAGAATTGACATTATCTCTCAAATCGGATGAAATAATATGATGTTATTTTAATAGACCTATTTTTTATAATTTTCATTTTTGAAAATGAGCGTTTTGCAGTGCAATCCGATGTTATCAATACCAAATACATTCTCAGTGCAATTTCAATGTTCGGGAATGTAATTCTATGGGTAGTGAATGGCAACAACTGCTTATCAGGGCCATTTTGTAAAAAAAATATATAATTAAATTATTTTTCAATATTTTATACTAATATAATCATGTTCCTACAAAGTACTAAGGGTAAAACAACGAACTTAACTTTTCCATAAAAAATTTTGGAGGAAAAGTTGTTCACTAGAGTTTATCCGTCGAAATTCGAAAGATTTTTTTTTATTTCTATTTTTTGTGGAGGCTCCGGGGGTAGCCCCGGATGCCCTCCCCTAAATCCGGCACTGCCTCCGACTTTTCCGGCCCAAGTCAAGATTTTTCAATGGAATTCTTTAAATTTTTTTATAGAGTTGGATAGAGCTTGACATTTCCTTCGATGACATACCAACCAGAGCTAGTCATATTATTTTGTCTTTAATTGCGGCGTAGGAAGAAATATTTCGCTCAAATTCAATACTGCGATAATCTTTATGTAATAACTTGGGTTTATCTCCCTAAAAATCAGTAAAAACAAAGAATAAAGATAGTTTTCTGATTGACTTCAACACGAATTTGAGAACGTATGGATTTGCCTCGAACACTGATGAAAAAACATGCCTAGTTGGAATTTCTTTACTACCGAATATCAAAAATATTTTTATTAACAACAACAAAACATCTCCATTTTCTACAAAATACTTTGTTATTCCCCCCCCCCCCCATTATTTATCACCAATAACAATTTCATTCGACAGAACTATTACCAGTGCTATCCATTCAATTAATCAAAGTTTCTTGTTGGGGTGAAGAATCCTTATTCTACGGTAACTATTAATAACTGTCAATTTGCCACCACTAATATGACATTTATTAAAAATTGTCTATTATTATTCACAGCAAGAATGTGTTAGCCATAACTGATGAAAGTTAAGCTGCGCTATTCGGACTAAATCGGAACATTTCGAGACCTATAGAAACAAAAATCGCGGTATCGTTTCTATCATTTTATTTCGATATGACGAAGGTCGTCGTTCCTGAGCGTTTTGACTGAAATTTAGATTTTTTTGTGGTGCAGCCACCTACCTATGATCATTAGCGACTCTTCTGAATTGTATATCCACCAGTACCTTATTTTGTCACGGACAATTCACATGTTATGTTATTGCTTGGAACAACCATCAATAAAACGAGTTGTATTTTTCAAAGATTATTTCACTCACTATTGCATTAATGAAACAATAATTTGATGTAGTGTTTTCATTCGCAGTTGATGGTGCGTTATGCAACTAACGATGCATCGAAGCGATGTCACTCAACTCGAGAGGTTAATTTGATATTATAAGTACCTATCATACTTTTGGTTGAAGTTTAGTGTCGAGTGTTATCTATCTGAAAATATTATTGAACTCGCATGACAGCCCACTGATGGTAAATATTTGAATTAATAGAACTAACTACCAAACTACCCAGTATCCAATCAGAAGTCGAAATACAAAAACGAAAACATGATATTTTCGATTATCAATAACCAATCAAAAACGTGTATTATGAAATGAGAGGAATAATGGGCTTATATCACAAAAAAATTTTATTTCATAATTCGATAGAACTCACCCGAACTAGCTCACCACCGCAAACCGTTTCTTGCTGTGAGCTCCCTACGTTTTATAAAAAATTATTGAAATCCCCGATTTTTCGGACCTCTGAAAACGAGGCGATGATGTGACGTCAAAACCCTAATACTGAAACAAGACTATTCCAGACAGAGATGAATGATACACATGATTTCTGACAGAGTGAATTAGCGCGAGATCACAGTTGAAAGAATTAATATATCAGTTGCCTCAGTCTCCGTTGGGCGTTTGGTATTTTCTTTTAACTATGGCGAGATGAGGTTTCTACGTCATAAGAGCTAGGGTCTGTTTTCAGAAGGTACTATTATTTATGTCCAAAAATAAAACATTCCAGTCAATTTTTCGATCGAATTATGTCGTCAATCATTATTTATGTATAAAAGGATCATTATAAACATGGTTTGAGTTAAAAGTTTCACAAAGGTGTACACGCCCATTGGGAAAATATCAACTGTCTTTCAATTCTGATTGGTATATCTGATCAGCGTTGCGTATTTCGAACGATGCATCAACGACATCAATCGAATGACGCCTTGTAAACGATTTAGTAGTCACCCGGTATATTTATATTTCACGCTATATCGAATTTCTTTCGAAGATTCTTTTGTGGTATGCAAATGATTAAACTTCATAACTTGACGTAATTATGTAACCGCAATCTGCTATTATTGTTATTGTTTGGCGACAGAAGAGAGAAGTATAAATAACTAGCTGCGTTGTGAATTTTAATAGCATTGTTAATCTGATCTACCTCTTAGAACCATCTGATCGACCATTGCAATTATGTATTTTGCTTATTTATTGTTCCTGATATTGTATTCTACTGGTCAGTGCTTGGGTGGTTGTTATGAAAATCACGATGTTCCTAGAAGTGCTCGGAAAGTAAGTGAATATTTCTAATAATTTTTGTGCTATTATTCACATTTTACATTTCATGGAAAATGAAATTTTGTGCAATAATAATACTCCATCGTGTCATTGTGATATCAGATACGACAGTAAAATTGAGGACATACAAAGTATACCTCATTGATTTATCGAATACAGTAAAACAAGAGCGATTTTGTGTTATAGCCGTAGAAAAAAGACTATTTCTTTCAATAAAATTCGACACCTTATTGTATCTCCAGAGCGAAGCTCTCTAAAACATAAAACATGAACTTTTCTTTTCATATGTAAGAGTTCTATCGCCTATCAAAATTTTCCGATTACGATCTGAAACACCCTGTAGATGGGAGATAGATATAGGTACCTACCCACTTAGGTACCTATCTAATTCAGCTACTGTCTCAAAAAAACACAATATGTATATGAGTATACAGAGTGATTCATTAAGAATGGGCAATCTCTGAACTACAAATAACGAACACATGGAGATTTTCGCAAACATGCCTTATACAAAAATGTTCAAGGGAAAAATTGTATTTTGAATTTCTCCATAACTATGTTCAAACATTTACTTACTCTGAAATTAAGTTTGTTGTTGGCGTTGTTAGTGATTGTCATCATTGATTACTGCATTTTTTCCACTGCCACTTTGTTAACTTTATAATTTGAAATAATAAAAATGTCATGATCGAGACACAAAACGTCTTCAAGAGCGAATAACGCAAAACCCGTTAGAGCTAGACAATTTGAAAACGAGCACAGTATTTTTTATGTAAAATTGAACGCATTCAGATTATTGACTGATTTCAATCATTTCAATGGACAAACAAAATATGAAATAATTGACCAAAGTAACAGAGTGTGCTGCTAGCGCGCTCTATGAGCAATCACAAAATTAGTTCGTATTTCTCAGGTCATCAGAAAATCTGAAACTTCAAAATTTCATCCTCATGCTGTTAAAACTTACAAAGTTATGAAATGTTTGTCCTGATGAGCCAGCAACATTTTTATTAAGCATGTTAGGCTGAATCTTCATCTCTAATTCAGAGATTTCCCATTCTTAATGAATCACCCTGTATATACATCTCTAACTAATGCTGTAGGTATGCATACTGTATGATACCGTATACATTCAGATAGGATATGTTTCCAAGAGATATAAATATATTGGTCTCAAGTAAAATATATTCAACAATCATTGTGGTCTTGAATGATAAATGAAGTAGCATAACCGCCAGATTGCACTCGGTGTTAAATGTGATACCTATCTTCCGGGAAGGAAGAGGTTCAAGCTACAAGAGGTTGTACATACGAAGTTATATTGGTTTGATGTAAGAGGTTGTAACGGGCGTGTACACCTTAGTAGAACTTTTAACTCAAACCATGTTTATAATGATCCTTTTATACATAAATAATGATTGACGACATAATTCGATCGAAAAATTAAATGGAATGTTTTATTTTTGGACATAAATAATAGTACCTTCTGAAAACGGACCCTCTTATGACGTAGAAACCTCATCTCGCCATAGTTAAAAGAAAATATCAAACGCCCGACGGAGACTGAGGCAACTGATATATTAATTCTTTCAACTGTGATCTCGCGCTAATTCACTCTGTCAGAAATCATGTATCATTCACCTCTGTCTGTCCACATCATCGCCTGGTTTTCAGAGGTCCGAAAAATCGGGGATTTCAATAATTTTTTATAAAACGTAGGGAGCTCACAGCAAGAAACGGTTTGCGGTGGTGAGCTAGTTTGGGTGAGTTATATCGAATTATGAAATAATTTTTTTTTGTGATATAAGCCCATTTTCCATGATGAAATAGTGAATATTCGGTGCCAACGACAATACAGGGTTTCTATATGAATGATCGTAGCAACGCACTGGCTTTTGAAATAGTTCTTTGAATCGCCACCCGCCTCTACATATTGGCAATCTTAGAAAAACTTACAATGCATTCCCTGCATAATGTGCATGTCTCACGGTGGGGACGTATACGGAGAATTGGAGTAATTTGGAAATTTTGCTACATCAATAATAAGCGCTCGTGATCTAACAATTCAAATTATTTTCAGCGATGCAGCGTTGCTACTTTATACAAAAAAGTGATGAGACACTCTGTATATATGATATCCATCTCAATAATGGTTTACGAGTTACTATTTTCCATATTTTTTGTTCAGAATAACATACCTAGTATTCTTCAATGTTTATGTTATGAAATATATATACAGTGTCATTCATAAAGTCGGCATCATATGGGAAAAACTTTTATTAATGACTTATTTTGAAATTCGAGTTGGACGTCAAGTTTTGCTTCAATAAAGATGCAAAATGGCCTACTCAATCGGGGTCACGTGACTTTCGCTACATGTCAAAAGTGACATTTTTTCAAATTAATCGCTGAAAGTAGGCTTATTTGTTCGAATATCGAAAAAGTTTACTTGAAAAAGTTGTTTCTATTCGAATTTTACATATGTGACTCGGATTTTATCTTTCTATTACATTTTTTAGATTTCGACAAATTGTGAATTCGATAAAACTACTTCATACCAGTAGCTTCATCATGTTACTAATTTTCAATTACTAATTATCACTAATTATCGACAAAAACATGATTTTCTTCAGAAAATGATAATCTCCTCTTCAAAATTCTGTTATGTTTGATCCAAACATAACATCAAAATTCTGTTGTTTGAGTCAAGCATTTAGAAACGAAATTCATTTAAATTTATTTTTTCAGTACTGAAACGATCAGTTTAAATGAATTTCGTTTCTAAATGCTTGACGATATATCAACTTTGCATCAAACAACAGAATTTGGAAGCGGGTATTATCATTTTCTGAAGAAAATCATATTTCTGAATTGAAATAGAAACAACTTTTTCAAGTAAACTTTTTCGATATTCGAACAAATAAGCCTACTTTCAGCGATTAATTTGAAAAAATGTCACTTATTTGACATGTATCCAAAGTCACGTGACCCCGATTGAGTAGGCCATTTTTCATCTTTTTTGAAGCAAAACTTAACGTCCAACTCGAATTCCAAAATAAGTCAATGATAAAAGTTTTTCCCATATATGATGCCGACTTTATGAATGACACTGTATATAGATCAATTAATGAAAACATCCTGTAACTCATTTGTTTACTGACATCATCACTCATCCATATGTCACCATCAGTATGATAGTAAGAAGTGTCAAACCAGAACAGAATTTTCGAAGAAAAATATTTCACATTTTAATGTTGAAAACGGCAGCAGATTCGTTCCCGAAATGTACAATGATAAGTAAAAATTTTGTATTTTTTCAATATATATATAATTCTTCTCTTCAAACTTTTTTCAAACAAAGTGTCACTGACAAGCTATTGGATTTTTCTTTTGGGCTCCCTGAGAAACATTTGTTAACGCAGTTACATTCTGGGGCAAATCATCTGATTTTTCCTACTATATACACATTATATCGGATCAATATTCATATTTTTGTTTTGTACAAACCATGAGAGAACATCCCGAGTAATCAAGTAAAATGAACAGCTGATTCCACTTTTGCAAATCGAACTTGCTTATCAGAAGTCAACCTGTTTGACGCTATTTAGGATCCCATAATTGTCACGATAAATCAATTTGAAACCATTCAGTATTTGCATGGTAACTAGCACGAAAACAAATCGGTTAGTAAATTGATTGCCACCATCAATTTCGATGACAATAACGTATGACACGTTTTTACACAGTGTGTGCCGTTTCTATAGAATTTTTGAATTCTGTCACATCGTTTCTTTTTTTTTTTTTTATCGCGTTGTTTTGAAAAATACTCAATTATTCAAATATAAGTAGAAAAATTGGATTAATTGGAAATTATTCTTCTGAATGATTTTTTGTTTCACTTTTCTGATGCTTTTCATGCGACAGAAGTTGATTGAAAGTGTGTGACTAACCGGGTGATTTTTATTTTGATTTTGTTCCAGAATTATGGTGAATGCAACAGTTTTAGTTATAAGCAATATAGGTACATTTTATGTCACAAGAAAGTTCTGTCATTAATTTTCAATTGGAATGTTTATACAGCCCTTTGTCATGAGTTCTAAGTTAAAGTTTTAGTCATAAGTCTTAAGCATGGTCATAAGCAATAAAACTTGCCCAACATTTCTCTATCAAGCGTCAAAATTTTTGACTAATGACTTTGCTTTGCGCATGTGTCATGATCTACATACTGTAATGTTGAAGGTTTGTTATTCAAATTTATTATCATTATCAAATCAATATCAAAATGAGAACTCATTATTCATGATAGCTGAATGATAAAAAAAATATTTTAATATACAAATATATAATATATTGATGAATACGAGAATATAATTTCACCGGGTTGCCTATCGAAATGTGCATGGCCGCAAGTATTTTTAATATTAATTGATCATTATAGACGATCACGTTGTTTTGAAGTGCGTAATACACGGCATTGTATTCATTGTTGTTAATGTCAAGCATATATTTGAAAAAAAATTAAGAAGTGCCTTCTGTGTCATAATATAGTATATTATGTTACAAGTGTTATAAACGTCCTTTTAGTATAACGAGTGTCTAGAACAGTTTAAAAACACGTTACATACTATACTTTTTCTACGAACTCATATTTCCTCTCTTCGGCAAGATCCCATAATTCCGAAAATCAGATTAACCTACCTGCTAATCTACAAAATTATTCGAAGTGTATGGGAATTGAAAGATGAGAACATAATAGGTACAAAATACTATGCAACTGTATGCAACCAACGAGACAAGTACAAGTTATATTGGTTCCAATTTATTTACGTTCACAATTCAAATATCCGGCGCCAAAGTATCCTCACCATACCGTCTCACCAGAAAGAAGCGTTCAAGACATTATTTTTGTACACTATTGCTATAGTCATGAATGTCCTGATAAAACTCCGCTTTTTCCGATTTGACATGACTCCGAATGCCTTCAGGAACAAATT